TGCCTTATAAATGAAAAAAGGAGACAGTAGTGTTGCCCTATGGGTCATTTATCCTGTGGCATATGATGCCAAAATCTGATTCATTAGTTTATATCAAGTTAGAGCATGGCTTTGAGGTTCAGCCGTGGTGGGACTCAGAAGATCCTAGTTCTGTCACAGGCTTTCTGTTTGATCTGAGCTAAGCTTTCACCTTTGCTCTGTGTGGGTATTTATTTTTCCAACATGAAGTACCCAGGTGTCTTGCAACAGATACCAACCATTTACAGACCACACCTGAAAGCATTTGCAACCTTTGCATCCCCAGAGATCCTGCAAGGTAGTAGAAGTTCACAGAAATTTATTTTCAAAGCTTCTGATTCTGAGCAACAGAGAAGCCGGGCAGTTTTTGTGGAATCTGGATTTAATTTGCATAATCCCCCCAGTATAATTCAGTGATATTTCAGTCCCTACAAGAGCGACATGAATGGCACACAAAATGTGCTTATTTCTTTGGACTGCCATTTAAAAATAACTTGTCATTAGGAGTGTGTCCAAAAAACACAGGATTTAAAAATAACTTTGCTAATGAGAGCAGATTGGCAGTAGCAGTGATATAGGTTGGAGCCTACGCATGTGTCTGTGCCTGCCCTCCCCGACCATCAGCCCTGGCTTCTGCAGCTGAAGAAGAAATGTAGTGCTGCCCATCCTGCCTTGTTTTCTCTTTGGCTTGGAAACCCAAAGGTCTCTGGGGATATCTTTGAAAGATGCCTCTGTACAAAGCCCTGAAAACCCAGCACCCCAGAAAAATCCCCCAAGCAGGGGCTCTGCACACAGGAAACCCACGGGGAAGGCTCTTTTATTTCAAAAGGGTCCCACTGGGTGTGGAAATATGAAAAATGCCCTTAAAAAATCAGCCCTTCAGGTTGCAGTATAGATAGAGTGAGGCTGAAAATGAATTTCAGCTTTCAAGCGACTTTATGCTGTCTCCTTGATTGACTTGCCAGTTTTAATACTGTAAATTGAGGGATTGCGTGTAATGCATTCATGCCGTTCTTGTCTGGAATGAAGCAAGAACATAATTTATGGGGATATTCTCATCTCAGCCTTTGAGGAATTAGCTTCAATTAACTCTGTTGGGAATTGCATGTGTCGGGTGTCAGAAAGCCATCAAGTTTTCTTTAGAAATGCCTGCTGCTGCGCGCATTTCATTCTTCGGCTGTCTGAAGGGTTTTAGCAGTGGATAAGGATTCAAAGCTGGGGAAACACAGATCTGGGTGACCAAGTTTCACAGGGTTAATACCGCACACAGATGATGGACAGGACTGTAGCTGAGTGCATTGCAGTCCATTATAATTTATAGCCACCCAGCTTGGTTGGGAGAGGGTTTGGGGAGGGTTGAGCGGCTTGTGAACCCAGAGCGCAGAAAAAGCAAACACACCAGAGGGCACGGGCTGTAAAATAGGATCTCTCCAGATAAATCTTTCTGACGTCTATGAGAATTAGAAAGGACATCGACTTGAGGCTGAGAGTGGCCAGTGATCACGGCTCTGACATCCTTCGGCTGCAGTCTGCGTCCCAGGTTTGAGGGCAGCCCTAAGGAAAGCAGGGCGGTGAGGGTGAGGGATTGGGGTCCCAGTGCATTGCAGTGGTGGGGTGCAGCAGCAGAGTTGCCTGTGGCACATCGGGGAGGATTTCCCTTCATCAGGGGCTGTGGAATCAGATGAGAGCAGCTCGATGGGAGCAGCTTGCTGTCGCACTGGACCCCAGAGCCACAGCATGATGCCACCCACCAGCCCCGCTGAGATGGAAGGGACGTGTGGCCTGCCAGACTTCATTAGGCTGCCGTATCAAAATACAGCACGGGAGAGCTGTGAGCTTCAGACAGCCCGAGCGATGTTCCCTGTGTCTTGGCTTGCCAGCGATGGCTCTGTAATTACTCTATCAAGCATCGTCTTGAATCTGAGAAGAGTGGAGGGTGCTTATTTTCACTCTTAGTGCACATTCTTCAGCTCTCTCTTAATTTCTGTGCTAGTGGGGACAAAATCAGGCAAAGATGTCTGATGCTCCTTGAAAGCCAAAAATCCCCTCCCTGCCCCCTTGATTAGCACTTCATTATCAGCTGCCACCCGCCAGGGCAGGCACCGAAGTCATTTCGCTGGCGAACTGTTTCTCAGCAATGCCCTTGCACCTAAACAGCCAATTCTCTATCCACAGCTTATCCCAAAGATTAAAAACCCAACCGAGCTCGATCTGAGCAAATCCAAACCAGTAATCCTAATCAGTTCTGTCGCTAAAAGTGCGTTAATATGGCACAAGAGCGAGCGTGGCTTTCTTCCAGCAGATACAACACTCACAGCTCGTTTGGGCGGGGAGTTTTTCTGCTGCTGTGTATTGACACAAAGGAGCACTTAGCTTGATAATGCCTCCTGGCTGCTGCCGCGATGCGAATATTAAGAACAAATTAAGGTGTAAGATTAAACTCTGGAAGTTGTTACCTGTTCACAGTGAGGCAGCAGTTGCTTCTTTAGCTTTTTTTTTTTTTTTTTTTTTTTTCACACCAAAACATTGGCTGTCAGCACCTGGGAGTTTAAAAATAAAATTCAGCTCCTACTTTATTTGGGAAACAATTGGAATCTGAAGTCTCCTGTAATATTTCTGCTATGGTATTTCTAATCTGCAATTAAATCTGTCATGGGATGCAGCATGACTGGCTGCAAGCCCCACGAACGCTGCCTTGTCGGGGTGGCTTGCTCATGGAGCCAGTTCAAAGCGACACGGACATGGCAGCTGTCACAAATTGAAAGCCAGCTCAAAGTTTGTCACAGCCACAAAAATCCCGAGGCTGGCGAGGCCGAGGCTGGTGTCAGGGTGGGGTGGGGATTGCTGTGCACCGGGGCTGTGCAGCCCAGGCTCTGGGTGGCCCCAGTGTCTTGCCATGCAGACTCCCAGTGTTGTGGGAGATAGGAAAGGTGGCAGCAATTGCCCAAATTCCCCAAAGGGCAAGCCGTGTCGGGTCCGAGTGAGCAGTGAGCAAAGTCTGTTTGCCGACATGTACCCTTGACATCAGTATTGACAGCGGTAATTGCAGGAGGACGTGTGGTTGGGATGAAAGAGGTGTCTCCCGGGTGACAGACGGTGCTAGTGGCAGAGCTGGCCCAACGCGCTGCCTTCCTAAGTGATCTCAGTGCTAAATGCGGCGTAGCCAAACCTGCAGTCGCTATGGAACTGGGAGGAACCGAGAGAAATGAGCAACAGAAGAAAGCAAGGCTTGCTTTGGAAACGCTTAAGCTGAGTAAACACAGCTAAAAATAACCTGCTCCTTAATGAGATGGGGAAGCTGGAAAAAGCGTGGAGAAATTCTCGCGAACAGTCGTAGGAAGGATGAGTTCAAGGAGATGGCAGCACAACCGCTGGGTGGAGGGCAGGGTTGCACGTGCAAGGTGCCCAGAGCTGGGGAGAACGGGGGCTGTGAGTCCCCAGCTTGTCCCATCCCACCCAGCAGGACCCTGTCCCCTCCTCAGCACCTGCCTGCAGGGCGCTGGTGATGAGTGGCAGGAATTCAGGGAATAGGACCGGCAGCGTGCAGGGGCTGCAGAGGCTGATTTATGCGGCGATGCTGACAGCGAGCTATGTGCATGGCTTAGCTAAGCACCCCTCTCGACATGGGATGAGGGTAGGAGAGATTAGGTAAGAGCACGCGGTCCTCTGAAAGCCTGAAGTGCTGGTGAGGAAGGAGGGGTATTTTTAGGTGGTGAGCGAGAGTGAAGAACACAATAGGGTGGCAAGTGAAAATTGTGATGAGGACATCTATTAGAGCATTAAACAGCTTTCCAAAGGCAGTGACTAAAGTCCTGTAGTGAAATCTGGGCATTGCAGTGCAAGCGTAGCATCCCATGATGAGAATTGTCCCATGATGAGGATTGAGACTAATTAAGTAGTTTCCTCCTCTCTGCTTTGAAAGTGTCCTGCCCCGTCCTGTCCTGCCCGGCAGTGCCAGAGCATTGCTTGTTCTTAGCAGCCCCCTGATAACGCTAGGTGAAACACCTTCCTTCCAAAAACACAGAGGTGACTCGGGAAGAGATTGCCCCTAGGTGAGCACCACAGTTAATATTTCAGTTCCAAGGGAGTTTCCAGGCTGGAGCATTTGTGAATTTAGCTTCCCCAGTGGCACAGTACCCACATGAAATAAATTTTCTTCACAAACTCTATCTGGAAACTTGAGCTTTTTACTCTTTAATGGGCTAGAGCTGCTGCAAATGCAGCCATCCCCACAGTAGCTCTGCGTTTCTCCTGATTCACCCAGAGATACAGATTTGCTGAGGCTACTGGAAACGAGCAGCTTGATTGGGAAATGCAGGAAATGTATTAACATGTGGCCAGGCAGCAGCTTAGCAAATCTTGCCAAAAATCTCTCTGGCTGCCTGTGCTTTCCCTCTGCATTTACTGTCCTTTCATCTTCATTAACCTTTTATAGCTCTGTCTGATTGCTGCAGATTTCCCACCATTTCCTACCAAAATGTCACTCTAACAGCTTTGTTATGGGCAGCCAATATCGATGTTGGACATCAGAGGGCTGTTAACATCTAAGAGAGTGATTGAGATGGGATGGAGCTGTTTGTGAGCGATGCCAACGATGACTGTGGGACTGCCACCAAAGCTGCAAGGAATGCATGTAAGAGGGGAGCAGGAGTGCCATCGCCCTACAAAAGGCCCCTCGGTGGCTCTCCCAGATGACTGATAATGTTGTGAGAAATTCAGCAGCTTCTGCAGCTCATTTATCTATTGAATAAATCACCAGCTTTGCTCTTTTGCAACCATTTTTTTGGGGCCAAGTTTAAAATGACAGCAACAACAACAAAAAAAAAACCTCCAAAAATGTTCCTTTTTAAGAGTTTGCAAGAGATGCTTGTCAGCTGCTGCAGTCTGTGTGAGTCTGGGTGTGGCTTTTTTTTGGGTATAACTCAGAGATTTCCATTGTCTAGCAGCTAGCTGGGGCATTAAATTGTCATGGATCACATCTTTTTCATCACACATGCACAAACCTGGAAGATTAATTACACTCCCTTTTGTAAAACGCAGCATCCCAAGTGATTAGGGAAGGAATGAATCAAGAATATGAATTTAAGTACCTAAAAGCAACGCAGCCATAGCTCGGCTTGAAAGAAAACAGCTGCCAAGGAAAATAGTAAGGCAAAAATGTGAAGCAGTGTCTCTGAGGCTGGGGGAGGGAAAAGGGCTCGGGATGCTCCCAGAAGTGTTTGGGCTGACCTGGGGCCCTGACACCTTGAGATGGGATTGCATCAGCTCTCCTACACAGAGATGGGAAAAACTCATGCAGGGTTTGTTGTAAGGGACAAGCAGGCTAAACTGGAGGTTTTCCAGTGGACGGTGTTTTCCTTCCAGTTAGGACACAAGAATTTTTCACGTATTGGTAAATTCAGCTTCACTCTCAAGGCTCAATGAGTTGTCGCTGGTGTTAAAGGGAAAAGCGGGCATCAGTGTGGCACAGCCAGGAATCCAGGCAGCATATTTTGTCTTCTGCCATCCCCACCGCATGGCTTCTTGCTTACTTTTGCTCTTCCCTTGCATTTTAGGTGCTCTGTGGAGGAGATATGTTAGTACAAACGGCTGCTGGGGCAGGTCTGTGCTGCGGGGCAGATGCATGCTCCTGTCTGCAGCTGCCACGGTCACCTCCAGCAGAGGAGCTGCAGCTACGTGGGTGGAAAATGTGCTTTGCTTGGTGGAGGTGAGTCACGCCACAAGGTGCTGCCCTGTGCAGAGGCCACGCTCTCTGTCGGAGGTGGGTGTGTTGCATGGGGATGGCAACAAATGCCATATTCAGGTTGTGTTTTCAGTGCATGGTTTTGGTCCAGTATGTTCTTCATCTGTTTTTATAATCTCTCTGCCTGACCCCTCCTTTGCTTCCTCCAACATTGTCCCCACTGTTTCTTTTTTCCCCAGACTGCCACTGCCTGCCTAGAAAAGAGATGCAAACGTAGCAGAGCCGGAGTGGGAGACGTAACCATCTCCAGATGTGTGCCGTGAGTGGGCTGGGAACGAGCTGTTCCCTGGGCTTCGACAGCAGTGAGGGACATGCAAGTCCAGGAAAAGCTTTGAAGGGTGAAAAGGAGAGAGTCAAGGGAAGCAGTTGTCCAGGAAGACTGGAATTTCAGCCAGTGGGTATTTTTAGCACAGACCCGGGCAATAAGCTGTAACTTGACCCTGCGCTGGGGGATGAACTGGGAGACCACTCAAGGTGCTGCACAGCACCATTTGCTGTGTTTTAGTTAATTACGTGTACTTATGTAAGATTTAAAGGCTTTTTTTTTTTTTTTTTTTTGGCTTGTGGGTGTCTGTTTCTGTGCATACACTTACACACGGAGCAAGGGGCAGGGAGTTCACAGTGTGACCAGACATATATCAGGGTGCTTATCTGTCAGTATATGCAGATAAGGGAGTTATAAAGTACCCATTTTAGAGATCAGAATGGTTTTCAACATGTTTCCTTGAGAAGCAGCGAGGGGGAGGAAGGACTGCACAAAGTCCCACGCTCCCTCTGCTCCCCTCTCCCCTCCTCATTCTCCCAGGGCTTTTCTCACCGCGGCTCCAGGACCAGCAGGACCCCTCTGAGGGCTGATTGAACTCCTGAGGATGCGAGAATGCCAGCCAGCAAGAGCTGGTGCTGCTTGGGGACGGGTATAGTGAGCATCAGGACCAGAGGAGGGAGGAGCTGGGTGGCCAGCTCAGCTGGAGGGTGCTGGGGAGCTCTTGCGAAGCACCTCAGGATGGAAATCACAGCCTACAGTCGTAACATAGCAGCCTTCTTAAATGGAGAGAACAAAAAAAGAAAAGGGAAGAAAGGGATCTTTTTTCTTCCTCCTGGGAGGAGCTCTTATCTGATTCCTGAAGATTGTTTTAGTGTCTGTGCTATTTTTGTAGCTGGAAGTGCACTCTGTGAAAGAGCGAGCAACGCTGAGAACCTCCGAGAAATTCATTATGAGAGGAGGAGGCCAAAAGTTGAGCTGGGACACGGGAAGCTAACAACCACATGTTTTGCAGCCTCCAAATTCGATCTCCCTCTCTGATGCCCTACCAGCCGTATGGCTCTGAGACAGCTGGGCTGGAGCAAACAGCCTTGAGGCCACCCGGAGGTCTGCTGGGCAGGATAAAGTTACTTGAGCATCCTCACCCTGCCACTAAAATGTCACATTTGCAGCCCACTATTGATTTCTGGGACTCAGGATCTCTGTGGCCACCAACCAGCGGACCAGAATGAACTCCAGCCCTTTGGGAATTGACAGGGCTGAGATGCAGAGTGCAGTCTTTCATCACTTTGCTGCTCCTGCTCTCCAGGTCATCCATCCGTGCGCAGCCAGGGGACAATAGCTTAGAAAATGGACCCCTCTTTGCTGTTTTTTCCTGGGGGTGCAGTGATAAGGGTGGGATGCTGGCCTGTTTCACTGTCACTGTTGCTCACTCAGAGAAACAGAATGGAGCTGCCAATTTTTAACTTTAAATTATTATTATTTTTTTTCACAGTGCTGAGAATCACGTGTTTGAAAATCTTGCAGAAGGTTTTTTTATTTTAATTTTTTCTTTTTTATTTTAAATGCACAATCCAAAGCAACGATCTCTTGATGTATGGCTGCTGACAGGTGCCCATCTGCTCCCCTGGAAGCCCATCTTTCATGCCTCATCTCCTCCAGCATGTGAGATGGGGCGAAGCAGCTGGAGGGGATGCTGCATGCAGGACTGCATCGCTCCGCAGACGGCTGTCGTGCAATATAATCTGCTCAGCCTTCCGGTGTCAGAAACATTGCTGGCTGTGCATGCAGGGCAGGGGGAGAAGAGAAATGCTGCTGCAAAGACAAGCATGTGTTTGTTGTGTTCCTGGATGTTGTGCAACATTTTTTTTGGGGGGAGGGAACGGGAGAGCTGCCTGCTGGCAGCAGGGAAGAGGTTAAATTTTGATAGCATCTTGGTTAAGCCAGGAAAACTTTGACCTCTGCCTCTTCTTTACTTCTAACCGAATTCAGGAGATTATGACAAAGCCTGTGTGGGCGTGTTCCCAGTGCTCGGTTTCCAAAAGATGGAAATACCATCTTCCTCCCCTCTGGAGATTTCGGCAGCAGGAGCTGGAGCTGGAGAGCTGCTGCCGAGACCCCCCAGCACCCACATCTTCGCTCTCTGCTCGTGACCAGGAGCAGAACAGCCAGGGCAGGAGCTATGTTCTGCTGCATCCTGCTGTCCCGAGGAGGGTGATTTATGGTGTTTTGGGGGTCATGGGGGAGCCAAAGGGTGCACACACGCCTTCCCTCCCTCTTCGTGTACATATAAATATGTTCTAGTGCCTGCTACTGCCGGCTTCTGAATGTGTGGCTATGTGTTTCGCCCTGGGTTCATCCCACCCTAAATTTGCCTGAGATGCCTGAGTGTGGAGCACAGACATCCTCGGGTTCCCTCTGTTGTCGATGGAGCGAAGCACCTGCAGAAGGTGACCCAGCTCAGGTGAGCGATTCCCTTAATTGCCTTCTGGCTAATTCTGCACCAGCCGGGTGCCCGCAGGCAGGATGATGGTACCGGGGAGAGCAGCAGGCGGGGGTCTCATTGCACCCCACGTCTGTCTGCCCTCGTGTTTCCTTGTGGTTTTGGGCTCAGAGGGTCCGCAGTGCCCATGGGGTCCAGCTCACCACTTGCCAACTCCTCCAGCCCTCTGCGGCCAGCCAAAGTCCTAAAATCAGCCACCCTGCACTCCACCTGCACCCGCTCCCCGTGACGCCCCCCTCGTCCTTGGCTCCATGGTGAAGGAGATCTGGCAAGAGGGCAGGGAGATGCCTTTGCCCATCTCACCTCGAGCTGGCATCTCGGGAGCGAGGAGGAACGAAACAAGGAGGAGAGATGAGAGATAGGGCACGGCACACCTTGAGATGAAAGACGTGTGGTTGGTGTTTGAAGAGCTGTGACGTTCCTCGGAGAGGAGGATTTATTTCTTCATTAACTTGGTGCCTGAACAAGTTTATCTTGAAGCACTGAACAAGTGTCATTCATGTTTCCTTTGAGCAAACAAGGCTCTTTGATAGTGCCTACCCTCTTTTGACCTTTATTTTAATTTTGAATGCTACTAATTAACACCGATCGTTCGTTCAACCACGAAACTGGTTGTTCCTGCTGAATGCAAAGCAAATGATTTGTGGTCAGGAGAAAAATGGGGGCAGGTTTCTGTAGGAAAACTCCAAGGTTGCGGGATACCCTATGCAAACAGGGGACTGTTGTGCCCAAACTGGGGAATTTCCTCTCTAGCCCTGTGGAAATAGGAATTTCCTCTCTGGTCCTGGGAATAACAGACCCCGTAGGAAAGGAGAGGGTGCTCTTAACAGATGCCTTGTGGAGGCAGTGCCAGGACTCAGAACCATTTAAACACCGTTTTTTCTTTTCTTATTTTTCTTCTGAAGTGTCTGGTTTCCAGCTACCTTGGCAACTGCTTGAAGAGCACAGCTTTGCTCTGCTCCCAACCCGTTTTCCAGTGTTGCTGGAGTAATGCAGCCTGGGGTTACCTGCTAGTAGGAACCCTGGGGAGATGTCACCAAGTGCTGCCCTAGGAGGCATGTCCCTTTGTCCAGGGGAATGATCCCCCATGCTCAAAGGAGGATCATGCAGGAGGGTTCATCTGCCTTGTGCACCAGCCTCAGCCTCTCCAGAGCAGCTCTGCCCACCACCATCACCCAAAATTCTCAGTCCTGAGCTTGGAGGTTGCCTTCACCTAAAATGGCCAAAACACAGCAGAGAGATTGGGTTCAGCTGGTGCCTGAAGGCTGCTGCAGCCAGAAGAGCTGGGCTGGGTTTTGGGAAGGAGAAAGTTTTTTCAAGGGTGGACCAAGGGCTGGGGTTTCCTTCCTCTGCCCACACCTTACCTGGTGTTTTATCACCTGGAAAACAAATAGAAACCGAGATCTCTTGATGCGAGGCGAGCTCCCTGGTGCACACATAATGGAGCTGCTGGTGTTGTGAAGGAGGGACTGGGCAGCTGTCCACACTTTCTACACAGGCTTCTTGGAAAAAAACAGGATTGTGGGCTCTAGCTTGAAACCCTTCCTGTTTCACGAGCATGAGTAACCACTGAGACAATGCAGACTGTCGCAAGGAGAGGCTGGAGGGCTCGGATGCCAAATTCTTTCTTCGTTTGCCGCAGCAGGACCTTCGGTGCATCACAGCTGGTGGGATAGGGTGGATGGTATCTGGAGATGGGGCTGAAGCCCAGACATAAGCTTCCCGTGGGACTGGGAGCAACTCTACCAGGGCTTCAAATAGTCCCTCTGAGGGGCTACAGGGCTTCCCCATCTCACCAGGACAAGGATAACAGGAATCATTAAGGACCAGGAAGGGTTCAGGTACCACAGTAGGACCAACCTGTCTGGCCTGGGCAAGTGCCACAGGTTTCCTTGGGACAGGGATGTCGTGGGGAGACAGAAAATGCCAGCTCTCATACAGACAGTCCTGGATCTCGGCCACCAAAGTGCTTTTCAGCTCAGTCTCAGGGAGCCATGTGGGCTCCCCCTGACTCTCCACGAAGTGTGTCCACAGCTCTCACGTGAAGTGCTTTAACAGCGTTACCAGTTCTGGACCATTTCCTGGGATTTTAAAAAAAAAAAAAAAAAGAAGCACACGTGACTGAAAACTTAGTCGCATCAGCAGCACTATTGAATGACAGGCACCGTCTATTTTAGTCTAATAATGAATTCACTATCTAGCAGCCTGCCATCATTGTGGTCCCATGATATTTCTAGCACAAGCATGGGAAGATAAAGCATCCACTGGCAAGGAAAGTTGAGCCTGTAACAGCTTCCAGAGCAGGCCAGCAGATCTAAATATGATTTCCTCGTCTCCACACACCGACAGCTCAATGCAGCTAAACAAAACCTCTTTTCTAGCCCCCATGAGAGTTTTTAGCACCCGTGGAGCAATCCGTTCTGCACAACCCTGTGTCTGCTGGAAAACCAGCCTGCCTCTTGCCACACTGCCTCAGCCTGCAAGTCCTATGAATCTGATTTCAAGCAGCATAATCTAGCAGAATAGTTTAAACGTTTCACTCAAGGGCTCCACCACATCTGAGGGCAGGGAATGAATCACGTTCATTCCTTTATCTGATGGTGTGTTTGTGTAAAAGGAGCGACATGCAGCGAGGAACTTGCTGTTGCAGGGAATTTGTGTTTACATAAATCCCCAACCCACAGAATTTACTTATTTATTTATTTTGCTGTGCCATTCCCCGTTTGCAAAATCCTCATTGGGAGCTATTTAAAAACCATCAGCACTCAAATAGCTTACAGGCCGGAGCTGGGAAGGGGGAGGAAATGCTTGACTGCAAAGGGGTGTATTGTCCAGGGAGCTGGTCTTGTGGTTCTGTAAGAGATTTTCTGAAATTGCGTTTTTTAAATTTTTATTTCAATGTAGAAAGGAAGGTGTAAGTTAAAAGTTCGTGAAGGTACCCAGACCTAGGAACATCAATATCATATTATTTCTACTCTTTGCAAGAATTAATCAATTTATTTTGCATCAAGGAAAAGCTACTGGCCCTGAACTGAGCAAGGGGTCTGACTCAGGGTGGGTCCCACATCTGCAAACAGCACATAAGTCCCTCCAAAAGCCATCAGATCAGGCTCTGAAATCCTGATGATTTATGTGGTCTGGCTGACTCCTGATCCCCACCCTGATGTCCTGCTCCAAGCATCTCCTTGCAGAAAAGCTCCCAGGACCCCCATTTTCGAGGCTCTTGTGCACAAGAGGACAGGTTTGACAAGGCAAGCCAAGCACCACAAAGATGGGGAGGACAAAAAGTGAGTTTGCTTGAGCAGCCCAAATTTTATCCCCTTGCCCATGCTTGTCCCATTGGTCTCCCTGGGGTGACCTGCCTCCTGCTCATGGTTTCCTTACCAGGTCCTGTCACTGAACCCTTCCCACGTTCAGGTTTTCCTTTCCTCCTTATGCTTATGGTCTCCTGAGCACAAATAAAATGGTCATCACATTTGGGAAGAAGGCCATGGATTCCTGCCATGGAGGTTCACTCATTTCCCAGTCCTTGCACCCTGCATTGAGGAAAACCAAAGTAAAGCCCACCAGAGTGCTTTCAGATGGGCCGCACCAGCCAGGTTTTCCAATCCTGTGTATGAAGCAGGTGAATCATTGCCTGCAATAACCCACAATTTTCATCCTTTTCTCAAGCAGATGCCCCATGCAGGGCCCACCAGCCAAAACAGCCACAGGGCTTCAGGGCACATGCAAGCAGGGCTTGTGACTTGGAGATGCGTGGCAGCCTTATGGATCAGCACCATGATGCCCCAGCTCCATGCGTGGCACAGATTATCTCAGTGATGCCCATGTTCTGGCTTTGTAAAGGTTATAGGTACAAATTCTCCTGGTGAGCACCAGGTCTGGTGTCTAACCACAGAGGGCCCTGGGCCAGGTGGCCATGGTAGCCATCCAGAACCCCAGTGTGGTGTGATCACGGCAGGGAAGGCTCTCCCTGGGCACCTCCTTGATCTTTGAGACACTTTGAGACACTTTTCCTCCACATCAGCAGCAGGAAGCCTCCAGCCCCAGGCCTGCCTCCATCCTGGGTGAGGCTGACTGTGGGGCTATGACTGATGCTGTGGAAAATCCCCTTCAATGGAGAAGGGGATTTTCACCCCCTCTCCACCCCACAATGCAAGCATTTTCATGCAGCGAGCCTCTGCTCCTGCGTTACCACTGGAGCAAGCTGCCAGACCCAGGCCCCTTTCCCAGTGGTGCCCCACACACTTGCATGGAGGACAGTCCAGCAACAAGGATCTGGACTCCTTCTTCCCTTCCCAAGCCTTATGCCAGACCCAGCCTTATTCTGGGAAAACCCTTTGGCTCACACGTCGCTCTGTGTTGGCTTGGAGCCTTTGTTTGCAGGATGCTGAATACATCTGGCGCTGCCTGCATGCGTAGGTTTCAGTTATGGTGGTGATAGTTTGTCATTAGCTGCTTAACCCTCCCGTGGACTAATGCACCGTGCTACCCCCAGGACACACCATTCCCTTGGGGTTTCTGCAGGGAATAACACCTCGTGCACGCAGGCATCATGAATGGCAATCGTGTGCGAGTGGCAACGTGCAGTGGCTAGGTTGCACTAAGAGGTTGTGCCTATTAGTATTGCAGTTGGACTTGAGGATCTTTGTAGGTCCCTGCCAAATGAACTACCCTATTTTATTACTAATATTACAGCATTGCTCGAGGCTCCACCTGAATTGGTATGTGTGGCACTGTGTAGGTGCTTTGGAAAGAAGTGTTGATGCGATGTAAGCAGTAAGTGGTTTACAGCAAGGTTTTGTGAGGGTCTTGTGGTGTGGCTGTCTGTGAGCCTGTCACTGTCATGCAGAGATTTGGCTCAAGGGATTTTGTAACAATGAACGCTTGAGTTGGCAGCAGCACAGTGTCTCTGCTCCCATGGCAGGGGTCCTTGCTCTCCTCAGGGGCATGGGCAAGAGTGAGAAAGCAGAGATACCAAGGGGACTTGCACTGGTAGGGGGAGATCTTTTCAGCAGGAGAACGAGTAGGTTGATTGTTGGGCAAATGGCTCAGTCAACACATCTCAGGCTTCACCGCTCTGAAGCTGGGCTTCAGGATTGAAGGGGGATCAAATAGAAGGGGGCAGCAGGCAGCCTCCCCAGCAGGGGCTGCAGAGGAGGTGGGGAGCAGAGCAGAAGATGGGGAACCAGTGGAAATGGAAAAGATAAGCCAAGTTATTCTTGTGGACTGTCTGGGGGCACTAGTTGGAATGAATATCCTCATCCCAGATGCTCTGTAACGTGCTCTCTGGCCAGCCTCAGCAGGATCTCCTGCAAGCCGTAGAGCAGAGATCGTTCCTCATCCCCAGCAACAGGTGATTCATCTCTCAAGCAGGCTCCTTGCATGTCTCCCAGCCACCCCACCAGGAGTGTGGATTCAGCAGGACCAGGGGTCAGCCCAGCCTCCTCCAAAGCCAAGTCAGCCTTTGGGTTGAGCTGGGAACACGAGAAGTGTTGCAA